GGTACAGCAGCCCCTCCCAGGCAATGGGGAAGTCATCAACATAGAGTGATGCCCAAATTTTTGTGAAGCTAGGGGCCAAAATATTAATGCAAGGAGAAAAAGTGTTGGCTCAGAAACATCCCTGGGGGACACCTTCAGTTGGGTAAAGTCCGGGAGGACATTTTTAAAACCCGAAAACGGAATGCCTGTCAGTTAAAAAGTTTTTAAAGGGAAGGTGGTAGATTGCCTCAAAGGCCAAGGAGTGGGCTTGGGCTAAAAATTATACCCCAAGTTGTGTCTTTCCCTTTCAAGGTCAAAAAATATGGCAAAAAACTGAGGGGTTCATTCCAAAGGCATTACAACATACGACCCCAAGCAAAAGTGGGGGTCATGGTGAACCCCCTTACGAAACCAATTGACGAGTGGAAGACTGGTGTGTCTTTAAATCCACACTAAACGTCTATTTACTAACGTTCCCTTACTTTCAAACTGCACTGGTAAGAGAATGGGACGTAGGGGGGGTTTCATTCCCGAGTGCCTGGTTTGCGGGAAAGGGGGAACAATGGCGGATTTCCAAGCGTGGAAAAACTCCCTTTTGACCAAATAAGAATGTAAAGGGAAAAGGGCGCAAGGGTGACTGTTAAAGTTTGCATCAATATGAATGTCTCGGGGCCCCCGCCGATGATCGACAAATGAGGTTTCCCCCCGTTCTTGAAGTGTAAAAGGCCCCATTATACTGTTCTTTTCTGAAGAAGAAAAGCCCGGGTCTAACTCTCTGGAGACTTTGAGGAAAAAATGAGGGGGATGATGGGGTCCCCCAAAATACGGACCAGATGATTGCCCAAATTTATTGGCAAAAACTAGTGGGTTTTTTAATCAAAAACGGGAACCCCCCAGAACGGAGGGGGGCCAAAAATATTTACCACCCGTTTTCGTACTTTTTTCCAATGCATTAGAGGAGCAAGGTGATGGTGGAGACATAATCTCGCCAGCAAGTGCGTTTAGCGTCAGGATGTCACCGCCGAGGACGCGATCGCACGCTTCTGTTAAAATCAAGGAGCTCGCTCTGTGGTTCTTTTGTACGGTACACTGCCCATGAAGCGCGTTTCCAAACGTACTGCACGAGCACAAGCAGGAGACACCAAGGCACGCTTTCTGAGATGCCTGCCGAAGTTTGGGTTTATGAATGAGAGCTGCCCGTGAAACGGAGGACGAGAAGAGGTTTGTAAAGCTCACTCGATGGGAGGACAAAGAAGGAACCTCTTTAAAAACAGTCCAGGGTGAGTAAAGGTTTCCAATTTGCCCGATTAAATTGCCCAGCGTGGGGGTGTGAAGAGGTGGCGAATATGGAAGGGGAAGTCAAGTGTGATTGGGAAATGATCACTGTTCATGTAAGTCCGGGAGAACAGACCCAGTGAAGTCTAATGCGGCGGAGGAAGATGCAAACTGAGAGATCGGATGCAAGAGAGAGTGTGAGTTCCGAGGATCAAAATGGGTGTGAAGCTACCTGTATTTAAAACATGGAGGGGGTGGGTGGCACGAAAAGCCTCTAACTGATTCCTTGGGGGAAAAAAAAAAAAAAAAAATCACAGTGAGACCCCCCCAGAGGAAATGGTGGGCATTATTAAATCACCAAGTAACAGATCGGTGGCGGTAATGACGGAAACAAGGAAGGCAAAATCGGAATAGATTAATGCCGAGAAGGAGAGTGATATAAAGAAAACGAGCGTATACACCTATGTAAGTGGTTACGGGCTGCTGTACTGTACATGCAGCCGAGTATGAAACCAAATAGTGATGGTACGGAATATCAGTGCGGAGAAGAAGGGCACTTTCATTAAAGGTCCCATCAGGAAAAGGATCTGAAGAAAATACAATAAATTATAGCCTGAGATGTGAGAAATAACAGCAGAGTGTAATTTTGGTTCCTGTAAGCAAAACACCAACAGGGGCAACTGGGAGAGTATGTAAATCTGAAGCTCACCCGAATACCTGAGGCCGCAGTATATTCCACTGTAACATGGCCTGATTGGCAATGATAAAGATACTTGAAATCTGCAGTTAAGGGTTCCAACGGACTAGAAGGGTTAGAAAGTCCACATGCGGAGGCAGTGGAAAATGCTTCAAGCAGCGAGGAAACGGTGCGCTCGTGAAGGAAAGGAGTTGCGCAAGATGGAGCATAGGAGAGAGAAAGATCGTGAGAAGGTGGATCAGTTCCATTGATGGTTTTGGTCTCTGCAATTATTCAGAGATTGTTCAAGGTTTGGAATTCAGAGATGTCGTATATGGGAGACAATATTGGGAATGGTAGGGGCGAGGATGAGTAAAGATTGGAACTGTATTGGACTGTACCAAGGTTAGGGGGGGCGAAAGGGGGGAGGAAACTGGAGAGAGAAGCGTGGCAGGGGACAGAAGAGGACAGGAACCTGGGAGGGTGGCAGAAGAGGAAGAAACTTGGGAGGGAACAGGGGAGGAAAGGGTGTACATTCGAGGAGGAGGGTGAACTCTGCACTTGTAACTTGAGCCAGTGAGAGGGGAAGAAACTAGGGACAGAGACAGGAGGTTTAAAATAGGAGGTGGAAGTAATGGGGTTAGTGAGGTTGGTACCGGACCTTTTTTTGCTTTTGAGAAGTAGTGGACGATTGGGAAGGAAAGGGTGTCGTACGCAGGTCTCGCGATACTGAGCTTGTAAGAGAGACTCGAAAGAAGCGAGATTAAGACTGAGGCGTTGAAGTAGGGACGTTTTCTGAGCCGAGGCAGCAAAAGGATTAGATTACAGGAGTTGATTATGGGAGAGGTAACCAAAGAGGTGGCGTTGTAGAAGATGGGATACCAGAAGTGGTGGTGGACGTTTTGAAAACTGGGAATAAGAAACACGTGGGAGTCTCCCTTGGAGGCGGAGATGAGAAACTGCCATGGCATAAGGTGAGACCGTCTGTCTCTTTGAGGTACGGATTTACCCGTCGGTTTAAAATAGACCTGACAACGGCGAGAGTACGAAGGGTTGAGCTCATGGAACAGTTAAGGCAAGAGGGAGATCAATTGCAAGACGTTATTAGAATGGTCATCGGCACCACAGACTGGCATTCGGCGATAGATCTGCAATATTTCGCTGGATGGCCAAATTCGCCAGCAATTTCTACACTGTTGTGGTTGTAGGGATCACCTTTCGAAATACTTGTAACCGATGTCCTGCTATATAAACTGAGGATGGGAGTTCTCGGCTGTCAAAAATTTAAACGAGCCACCTTGCTAGGGTATCGTCTCCTGCCGCGGGCAGGAAGCAACGTAAGTGTCTTCCTTGAGGAATTGGAGATCTTGGAGTCAGCTGTTCATAGAATGTCGGTGCCACATGTCTGGAGAATGTTTGTTGAACTATGGTATGGGCAGAATGACGTTACCACTACAAGAATTGAGGAATGATGTTTGTTTCAGGGTGACAGGGAAAGTATCTATATGGGAAAGACGAAAGAGAGCTCACGATGCCGGGGTAGCATTCTCGTACGGTATGATGCGGTACGCTCTTAAGAGCATGAAAAGAATATCTTTACAAACATGGCGTAGGAGTGCCTTGCCAATACTATGGTAGAAAAGATAAGCAGTTAGAGGAAGTTGGTCGTAAAGGTGAAGAATTTAGTCCATTGTTTCAGTCTGAAAAATGAGGCGTGGAAAGGGTATAGTGAAGGACGTGTCGATCTCGTTTCTGAGAAGAACGAGAAGGTGAAGGTGGAGAAGTATCATCAGCAGGTAATTGTCGTTGACGTTTTAGGCGTGTGGACCAGAGATGGTCCGGATGTGGAACGGGTCGGCGATTTGTGAAAATTGCCGCACCGTAGAGGGAGAGGCCAGAAGCATAGTTCAGAGGAGAGCGAAGGTACTGATAATCGAAGGAGTCAGTCGAGGCTCTGTACCATTGAAGCGAGGTGAGGAAACAGCCGGCAATAGGTACAGAGGCATGAGGAATGTCTGAAGAGTGGTCCAAAGACGTAGGCCGGGGTCAGAAACGGCGGTGCGGTCACAAGAAGGGGGCCGGGGGGGGTACCAGGTTATGGACTCTCGGCCTGCCATGGTTAGGTTACTTCTTTCTTTTGTTTTTAAGAAAAAAAAAGAAAGAAGAAAAGAAATAAAAATAAAAAAAGAAAAAAAAAGGGGGGGAATGGGGGGACCGGGGAGGGATAGGTCCTAGGAGGAATGAAGGCCAGAAATCTCCCTCCGCGCCCAGAGTGACCTCAGCACCGCATAGTAGCGCAGATGCAGCATGGAACCCGTTGCCATACCCTCCCATCATGCTAGGTAAACTAACAATCCGGGAGATAGCAACCTCACATCTGCAGAGCTACCTCGGTGGACAAAGAGAGGGCCGGCGGATATCCGCCCACAAAAGCAGTTACCTCCTTCAGCCACCACCCCGGAATCCGAAAGGTGGGCTTCCAGAGATTACACTCGTCGCCCGAAGACACCAAGCTACTCCGGGATACGGGAGAGGGAATACCCCAGGCACTCCCCAGGCGATCCCAGATTCCACGGCAAACTACGCCACCGCTAAGAGGCCTCACGGAATGGATGGGACCCGAAGTATCCTTTCTCCTACCATGGAACTAAGCGCCGCCTGTGGGAGAAATCCCAAAGGACAAAAAGAGGGAGGGGCCAAAAAGGGAGCGGTGGGGAGGAGGAGGAGGAAAGGAAAAAGGGGAGGTTGGGGAGGATGGGATAGGGGAGGAGGAGACTGGGGGGTAATTAGGTTCGGTCTGAGGAAGAAGACCGATAGGTCTAATTCCTCAGACCAAGAGCCTCTTCACCACGCCAAGGAGCCCCCCTTGAGAGGTGTACAGGTGAGTGATGTATATTGTTACATGAGTGAAGTATATCTGTTACAGGTGAGTGAAGTATATCTGTTACAGGTGAGTGAAGTATATCTGTTACAGGTGAGTGAAGTATATCTGTTACAACTGAGTGAAGTATATCTGTTACAGGTGAGTGAAGTATATCTGTTACAGCTGAGTGAAGTATATCTGTTACAGGTAAGTGAAGTAGAGTTCTGGCTGGACGACTACAGGTCACAGTTAAGTTAGTGGCGACACTCAGGTCAGAGGAAGGAAATAAGAACAGTGTTCAACTGTTGGTGAAGATAACAACAACGGGACACACGAGCAACACAACTGTTGGTGAAGATAACAACAACGGGACACACGAGCAACACAACTGTTGGTCAAGATAACAACAACGGGACACACGAGCAACACAACTGTTGGTGAAGATAACACCAACAGGACACACGAGCAACACAACTGTTGGTGAAGCAGAAGCACCTGGACGCGGGGGCAACACGCGACCACTGGTTCTAATTGGAGATCTTTGGATGAACAACCTATTTTGTCTAATTTTTCTATTGCAAATAATTCATTTACCCACGAAAAAAAAAATATAGTGAGAATATCAAAGCATCTTTGGTTATTAATTTCTCATTTAAGATAGTTTTAATATAAAGGTTTTAAAGGTAAATACAAGAGAATCCAAAAACCAATAACAACATTTTAAAGTCTGTCGTGTTTTGGGGAAAGGGAGAACAAATATTTCCTTTTAGAAAATTAGACCATGAAAACATCGGGGGTACTTTATATTGTAGACGTCGGGAACAATGGCTTTATTAATACGTACAAGGAATAATTGAAAAATGTAGAGTTATACCAAATATGAGGTAATTATTTACTCACCTGGGGGTGTGAGGAGCACTTAGTGATAAAGATTGTGGCCCTAGGCAGGAAGACTGGGCTTTTTTACTGGCTCAGGTGGGGGACGGTAGCAGCAGGGTTGCATCACAACACACACACTTTTATTTATACGTGCATCAGGTGCTTCAGACTAGGTAGTCTCCACCAACCCAAAGGTGGGGGACTGTTTACCTCTCTTTTGTTTTTAAAGTTTACATTCACATTAGTTTTTGTATTGTACGAAAAGCCCCCCGGTTTCGAAAGTCACAATAGTCACCCAATGTTGTACATGTGTTTAATTCTTCTTTTTTTGTCGGATTGTAAACCAAACATTACAATTTCCTTTCAAAATAGTGTCTTTCATTTAAAAAAAACCCTGGGCTTTCTTCTTTGAAATTTTTTGTGGGCCAGAACACAAATTAGTGTTTCCTTCCAAACACGCCACATCATGAAGCGTCACGGGGGAGGGGAATGTCTGGTCACCTGCCTTTCCAAACTGTGTTTATCATTATTTTATTTTAGATTTTTATTTTTTTTTATTAAGAAAAAAAGGTTCTTTATTACGGAAAAAGAACGCAAAACAATTTAAAAATATGTTTAGAGTTTTTAAATATTGTCCAAGAAAGCCCAAAACACGTGAAAGATTTCCTTTCAAAATTATGCGTTTTTAAATTTTTATCTTTTATGTTAGCTATTTGTCATATAAGTATTTCGATCGTCTCAAATCTCCAGAAATGTAAGAGGTTTAATTCTCTATGTATTTTAACCTTGAGATTTTGGGGGTTTAAAATTTATTGTATTCTTGATGGTTGGTAAGAGGTGACACAGCCTTAATGCCCCCGTTTAGTAAAGGGTTTTTTACACAAAATTTAAAACCAACCAGATAACAGACACAATACACGATAAACACTGGGTCTTCAAGCTGCCACCGTCGAAAAAGACGTCGCATTTCTCCCGGCACTAAAACCCAAGTTTTTTTTTTTGGGTTATCCTGAGTAATTCTGATCAGAGCTGAGGGGAAAACTTGCTTGCTGTTACCTCAAGCACCACCCCTTAAAGGGGGGTAAGGCGGTGACAAGCTTGCCCCCCCACCCCATCACCTTATCCTACCTCTCCTCACCCACCCAAACATTAAAACGCCCCTCACTAAAACCGCTTACACACCCTTTGACTTTTTTTTTTTCTTTTTCCCAACTTTGCCTTTTGGTTTAGTTAACCAGGGATTTTACCATCCGGCACCCCTGTGGTTTTTTTTAAAATTTGGGTGATCTTTTTCCTTAGGGCCCCTTCCCCCCCCACTCCTCGAGGGGAGGCTTCTTAGGGGGCCTGTCCCCTCACTCCCGGGGTAGGGTATTTTAGGGGTCCTGTCCCCCCTCCTCCTCGAGGGTGGGTTCTTGGGGGGCCCGTCCCCCTTTCTCCCCGAGGGTAGGCTATCATAGGGGCCTGTCCCCCTCCTCCCCGAGGGTAGGCTAATAGGGGGACCTTCATAAAATCAGTGACTTAGGATGTTTGGATTTTTACACTCAGGCACAGGTGTTCATTGTTCATTTTCGATGTACCTCTTGGGCATCATGACGAGAATCCCAGTTGAAACGTTCAAGACACCCAGAATCCCAAGGAAAAACTTTTTTTGTAATTATACACACCGTGGCACCATTTTAAAATTTTCTAAACCAATCTGGGCGGGTTTTCTTGCCTATTGAAGAGGAGCTTCTCAAAATACTTAACAAAATGTTTTTGAAAAATTTAAATTGGGCATACCCCATTCCACCCGACAGTTATCAGAAAAACGCACGTTTTGGGCACAACAACAGTTTCACGAGGATTGCCCTACGATGACCTATGATGAACTTAACCAAACAAATTTTGAGTTTAAGGTTTTTCTGCTTATAAGTTTCCCACTAGTTTCAGCTCCCGACAAACACTTTAAATTAATCCCTTTAAAAACCAGTAGAAGCCGACCTCTCTGTAAGCAAGGGTTTTAAATGCTTGGAAAAGTGTCACCCGACCCCAAATCCCTTGGAAAGGTTTAAACAGATCACCCGTGTTTTTTAAATGTTATGAGTTTGGCCATACCACTAATAAAACAGCGCCACAAACCTATTTGCGTATTTGCTCTGGGGAAAATGTTTTCAGGGGCTGCACCAACAAAAAAAACCCTAAATGTGCCCTTTTTACTGGAAACATCATGCTTCGCTCCCCGCACGTTAGGAAAACTGCAATACGAAAATTCTGGATGCGAAGAAAAAGAAAAACACTAGAATTACACTCCCCCAAACACCTCCACCCCAGTCCCAGGCTTCATTCCCCAAAACTCCCTGGATCTTTCAGGGCTTTCCGGCCTCCTCCCCAGTACTAATGTTTTGGGCGTCTGCCCTACTGCGCGTCACCCCTTCCCCCTCCCCCCAATATACACAAGCACAAGGACTCCATCTTTTTCCCCAGCTTCTTTAGGTCTTCAAGGGGCGATGTTATGCGAGGTACCTATGTTTATGTTGGCCAAAGAAATACAGGTTTTCAAAGTTTCAGCTTGCTTTTGGTTTAAAAGATTATTAGCGGCAATGGGGTTTTAGCCCCTTTATTTCCAGATATGTGAACTTTTTGCACCCGCCCCCCCCGGACAGGAAGTTTGTGCCATCCCCCGCACCCTCACTCCCCAAAATTTTCCCTCAGTCAAAACTCAACCGTAATGACAGACATAGTTATAACACAATGACGCACATTCAGCAGCTATTGCCGCTGTCCCACCCGTAGTTTCCATGGCTACTCCAAGAGGACTTCAACACTTCCGCACGGAGCCCCCACTATCTCCTACAGTAACTGTTGTGAACATGTCACCTGAACTTGAGAATACAGTACCCCAGTTGTCAGCTGATGACTCTGTAGCGTCAGTTAATGTCACCAATAGTAGTGGGGACGAGGAACTTGTCAGTACACAGGCGACTACTCAGAACTACACTCCTCTTGACGAGTCGAGTAGGGAGAGCTCACACTCAACTTGCAACTATAATTTTAGACAACTCTCTGTTCGCAGGAAAAACCCAAAATTGAAGATGTTAATGACTAGATAACACCAGTTACCTTTTATGTCTATCACGGATTACACTACCCCAGTTTATGGAGACTTCTTGTTTAAATATGTTGAGAGCAGAATTCCCAATATAAATCCTAACACCGTGGTATTGTAGCCCCTCTGTTTTCTTATGTGCAAGAAGTTGATGGGGAAGTGATTTTTTAATATATAGAACACAAGAGTTAGTAGATTTGAGGTTATATGCAACATTATTATTATTATAATCAAGGGGGAAGCGCTAAACCCGGAGGATTATACAGCACCTGGGGGGGGGGATGTGGAAGGCATTCAGGCTTAATTCGGGGAACTGGAGCACAGATCCAATTCCCTAAATCAAGAGCCCCTCACCAACATCAAGGAACCTTCCTTGAGGGGTTATATGCAACAAATGATGGTAATTTAGGGGATTGGGATTTTTCAGGGACTCTGCACTCTTGTAGACACACAACATCAATGGGTTCAGTGGTTACTTTATGATGAAGGTCAGGAAGTCTTTTTCTAAGTGATGCAATATTCCAACTTAATATAGAAAGTTTATACGAGTTTTGATCCATTATAGTAGTCCTGGAATCTTCTTGTGTTTCTCAGCATAATGAAAAAAATTTTCATATAAATAGCAGAGGTTATCAATGTCAACAGTGTTACCCTGGTCCATGAGTTTGTTAAGTGCACTTCCAGTTGTAAGGCCTCGTGGGAGTCTTTGTTTACACAGAGCACGACGCTGTTCATGTGTGATGTATGGTAGGTGGCACCATCACTCACATTCCCTCCCCCACTAACATTATACGCATCACTAAAACTGTCATCACCAACGCCACTACCAACATTGTGTTCATTACATTTATTAACAGTATTGTATTCAACATTAATGTCTATGTGGTTAACCTCATCACACTCTGCACCACCACTTACATTACGCTCATCATTATTACTAACATCATAGACACCACTGCCTTCATCACACTCTGCACCACCACTTATATTACGCTCATCACTATTACTAACATCATAGACACCACTGCCTTCATCACACTCTGCACCACCACTTACATTACGCTCATCACTATTACTAACATTGCCTTCATTATGATGCTCACTGTAGTTATCAACACAAATTGTGACAATCTTGTTATTGGTACACTCTACACATCGTTCCTTGTGTTGCTAAAGTTGTTTCAGGAGAAATTGTTGTGTTTCCAGTACCCTTATGCGAGACATCAGATTGTATACCACAGGAGCAAGACTTGGAACATCTGGAGACGAAGTCCCGGTCAGCTGAGCTCCTTGGCTGACTGTCAGCTGACTCAGCTAGGTTGGTATTGACAGCCGACGTGATGGAGCTCTGTTGACGTGCTCCCCAGGTGAGGTGCTCAACCCCATTGTCTGAGGGCAGGCATGAGCCAGTATTCAGACTCGAAATACCTGGTAGTCCTGGGGGGTCATAATGAGGGGTACAGGGTATGGTGCGGTTGGCTGTGATGTTGGCAGCCGTCACACTGCAGTCAGTATGAGCTGCTGTAACTCCTGAGGTCTTACAATTGATACATTATTTAGCAACAGTCTGTTGATGTTTGATAATATCATAACACCGTTCAGAAGGATGAGCATTGGCACACACTGCACACCAGTGTGACTTAGCTGGGCATTTCCTGGCAATGTGGCCCCAGCGTTGACA